GGAAATCCTCCTCACAGTTCCAAGACAGAAAAGAGTGCTTGTGGTCACTCATAGACTAGAGCACAGGCCAGTAAAGGAGTAAACACCTCATCCTTGATCATAGCACCTTGGAAGAACTGAAAATTTACAGGTCCCTAGAAGTATCTCTGAAAACAGCTACACAAAGCTGGGTCAGTACATTCTCTGAAGCTTGGGACAGTACATTCTCCACACTGGAAACAGACCCCTACCTTAGCAAAGAGTTTATAACTGAAGTAATTGGCTGGGATCATGAGCAAACAGCACAAAAAGAGTCAGACTATATTATCTTACTTTGGTGACAAAGAAGATCAAAACACACAACCAGAAGAAGACAATGAAGTCAAAGCCCCTATATCCAAAGCCTCCAAGAAAAATATGAATTGGTTCCACGCCATGGAAGAGCTCAAAAAAGATTTTGAGAAGCAAGTAAGAGAAGTAGAGGAAAAACTGAGAGTGATGCTAAAGGAGACCCAAAAAACACTGAAGAAAATAACACCTTAAAATATAGCCTAACCCAAATGGCAAAAGAGGCCCAGAAAGCCAATGAGGAGAAGAATGCCTTAAAAAGCAAAATTGGCCAAATGGAAAAGGAAGTCCAAAAGCTTACTGAAGAAAATACTTCCTTAAAAATTAGAATGGAGCAATTGGAAGCTAGTGACAATTTGAGAAATCAAGGCACTATAACACTAATCCAAAAGAATGAAAAAATAGAAGAGAATGTAAAATAGCTCATTGGAAAAACAACTGACCTGGAAAATAGATCTAGGAGAGAGAACTTAAAAATTATTGGACTACCTGAAAGCCATGATCAAAAAAAGAGCCTAGACATCACCTTTCAAGAAATTATCAAGGAAAACTGCCCTGATATTTTAGAACCAGAGGGTAAAATAGAAATTGAAAGAATCCATCGATCTCCTCCTGAAAGAGATCCCCAAAGGAAAGCTCCTAGGAATATTGTAGCCAAATTCCAGAATTCCCAGGTCAAAGAGAAAATATTGCAAGCAGCTAGAAAGAAACAATTCAAGTATTGTGGAAACACAATCAGGATAATACAAGATTTAGCAGCTTCTACATTAAGGGTACGGAAGGCATGGAGTATGATATTCCAGAGGGCAAAAGAGATAGGATTACAACCAAGAATCACCCACCCAGCAAAACTGAGTATAATCCTTTAGGGTAAAAAATGGTTATTCAATGAAATAGAGGACTTTCAAGCATTCCTGAGGAAAAGACCAGAGCTGAATAGAAAATTCGACTTTCAAATATAAGACTCAAGTGAAACATGGAAGAGGTAAACAGGAAAGAGAAATCATAAGAGACTTTTTAAGGTTGAAATGTTTACATTTCTGCATGGAAAGATGATATTTGTAACTCATGAGTCCTTTGTCAGTATTAGGGTAGTGGGAGGGAAAAAATTATATGTATATATAGATAGAGGGCACAGGGTGAGTTGAAGATGAAAGAATAATATCTGGAAAATAAAATTAAGGGGTGAGAGAGGAGTATACTGGAAGAAGGAGAAAGTGAGAAATAAAATGGGGTAAATTATCTCACATGAAACAAACAAGAAAAGACTTTTATAGTGGAGGGGAAATGGGGAAAGGTGAGAGGGACTGAGTGAATCTTATTCTCATAGGATTTGGCTTAAGGAGGGAATAACATACACAACGGGGTATGCAAATCTATCTTACCCAACAGGAAAATAAGGGGGGAAGAGGACAAGAGAGCAGGGGGTTGATAGAGGGGAGAGCACATTGGAGAACAGGATAACCAAAAGCAAACACTTCTGAGGAGGGACAGGGTCAAAAGAGAGAATAGAATAAATGGCGGTTAGGATAGGATGAAGAGAAATAGACTTAGTTTTTTTTCCAACATGACTACTATGGAAGTGTTTTGCATGACTATACATCTATAACCTGTATTGAGATGCTTGCCTTTTCAATGAGGGTGGGTGGGGAGGGAGGAAGGGAGAAAATTTGTAACCCAAAGTTTTAAAAACTCATGTTAAAAGAAAAAAAGAAAGATTATGCTCAAAAAAAAAAATAAAGATAAGAGCAGGAAGTATGCAAAAACAGAAATTCTCTGAAGTTTCAGGTGAATTAAGTTTTCTAATTTGATATTCTTCTGTAGCTCTATTGTTAATGAGATTCACTCCATAAGATTTGACTTGGTTTTCACCACATGAACTAGTTACTAGAAAACAAAATTTAAGACGCCGTACTAAATTGTATTGAGTTTTGTTACTGGTAGATTTTAGCAGCGCTACCTAGGGAATCTCAGCAAGTGACTTGGAACCAGAAAAGTGCATCTGCTAGGAGGAGGCCCCTCAAGAGCTATCCTGAGAACGAGGCCTATTCCAGAATTTACAAAGGAAGATGTTTCCAGGACCTGATGACTACATGTGATAGCTGGCACTCAAGATGAAGTATTCTGATTAAAGAAGCACTGGCAATGAGTTACCAGGAACAAGGAAACTTTGTTATTTAATAAAGATAATCATTATTTTTGCTTTTTGTTGCATAGTGTTTATGTTTACCCGAAAGAGAGGTATGCCCAAAGTATTTTTATTTATTGTTCAGAGATCAGGGCCATTCCTCCTGAAACTTTTGATCAACTGAAAGTTGGTTTTCTGTTTTTATTAACCTCACCTTACCAAAATGTGATATATGGAAAGTTAACCATTTGACATTCCTCAGGTAGAAGGCAAAGGGAAATTTAAACTTCCTAAAGCATTTTAGTTATTTATCAGTTACCCTAGATAACTGTGTAAGGGAGGAATTCCTTGACAATGAGTTTTCTTGGTTACCTTGGTGATATATGTATCTTCCCTTTCAATCAGTCCATTGTGAACCCTCTAAATGTAGTTTAATCTGTAACCTAACTTAGTTTACCAATAAAATATGTTTAACAAGTTTTGACTCCTTAAGGGATATATGAGGTTATTACTCAGCTGAACTGTTTGTTCAACTTTTATGATATTGAAGTGATGAGGTTGGGATCTGGACCCCAGAAAGGAAAAACCCTGGACTTTCCCACATGGCCAAATCTTTGGCATTCCCCTGAGGTTATAATCCCATCAACTGGCCTTTCATTGTGGCTACACCCAATCTCCCTTTCTTTGTCTTACCTCCCTATGGCCCCTGGCCATTTCCCTCCCTTAATCCTAGGTGGGCTCCATTCTCCCTTGGCCACCCCTGGAGTTCTATTACCTCAGACTACTTGGCCACTCCTAGATCCCTCCTTCTTTCTGTATATAAGGTCCATCTTGTCTCCATTAAGATGCTCAGATTCTTGTAATCTAGCCATGGCTCAGATTTTCACAATCTAACCAATAGCCCACAGATGCTCGGATTCCTTAAGAATCTAGCTAATATGGCTAATCTTCAATAAATCTTGTTTTTGGCTGAAAGAAGCCTTGGGTCATATTCTTTTGGGCAGTACTTGCGTGTTGTGATTTTGGGATTCCAGGACCCCTAAACTCTAGACCTCATCAGAAAAAAACAGGTATTATCATTTTTTGTGATACGTATGGCCACAATACATTTGTTTCCTGTTACAAATTTAATTCCCTTGATTTATAGTCCCTGAGACTTACTCAAATTTACCCCTCTGACTATTAGACATGGGGAAAAGTTTGCCACCCATCTGCCTACTCCCCTCCTTAAAGGAATTCTATCAAGTTCTAGATGAGATAGTAAGGAAGATACTATTGCACTGGGTTATTTTAATGAACTCCCTTGGAAATCATAACCCAGTTTCCTGCTTCTATAATTATGGTTTTACTGGTATGAGAATGTTGAGCCCAAAAGAGGGGGTTGTGAATTATCATTTATCATTTATTAATATTATTTGAACTTGACTTTATGTGACTAGAGATTGTTTGAACCCAGAATGTCACCCTGACCTCAGTGACTCTCTAGGAATGCCAGAGATGGCTATAAGGAATTTGGGGTTCTCCTGGATCTACCCAAAACATTTTAGTTCCTCTCACCCAGACCTTGTTTTGGGTCTATCCAAGCTTGTAGTTTGGGTTCCCTTTGTATTTTGGCTTCACCCAAATTTTATTGAATGTTTACATTTACTGATATCAATCTCAATCTACCTTGATTTCAAGTTGCCCTCTTGGCAAAATTGCTTAACTGCATAACTGTGGTTTGTGTTCGGGTACCCTTGTCTAAATCCTGTGTAAGATAAATCTTCCAGAGCTTAGAGGAGAGGGTGCCACACCTCCTTTTTGGCTTACTCTCCTCTACCAAATGACCTAATAAATTTCTTTATAAAACTATTTTGAATTTGGGGGTTTGTTCTCTGGAACAATAACTCCCATGTCCAGATCTAAAGGATGAGCTTTCAGATTCTAAGAAGATAATATATGTAATAATCTTTCCAAAATGAAGTTACATCAGCTAGAAACTTATAATTTGAAATAACATGTAGTCTAGATAGAATTAGGCCAATTGACTCCAAGAATAAGTTTAAAGCCTTAAATATCTATACACAAATGCACAAAGTATAGGTAACAAGCAAAGTGCATGAGAAAACCTAATACAAGGAATCACATTTGATCTATTACTTAGTACAGAGGCATAATGAGATGAGAGTCAAAACTAGAATATCAATACTAGAATAGAATTTTTTATTCAAAGGAACAAAATACAGACAGTTCATGCTTTACGTAAATTTGCATGATGCAAATTCACCATTATGTAAAGAATTCTGAAAGAATCCTGCATTCCAAAAAACCCCCACCTGTTTTAACATTACTATTCGGTATTATGCTTTCCCTTTCTCTCTGCTCCTGCCCCGTGGCTTGGCACTCTGTCATCTCCCACCTTCCCCTAGCAGAAAAAAAACAATAAATAAAAAAAAACAAAAAAAAAACCCTTAAAAAAAAGCTGAGAGCAGCTGGGCGGCCGGCGAGAGCCACCAGAAGCGAGTCCAGGGAGCAAAGGCGGCTGCGGCTATGTGAGCTAAGGCCCAGAGGCTGCCCCCACCCCAGCCATGGCCCTGCCAGGTGGCATCAAGGACAATATCAGAGCTGGATGTAAAAAATGTGACTATCCTGGTCACCTGACTTTTGAATGCCATAATTTTCTCCAAGAAGACCCCAAAAGAGACATAGTTTTAGATGTCAGCAGTACAAGTACTGAAGATAGCAAGGAAGATGCTGAGGAACTCAATAAATTGCAGACTTTACCTGAGAAAAATACAAATGAGGAAGATGAAAAGAAAAAACAAAAAAGAAAAAGCAAAGAGAAATTTAAATTGAAAAAGAAAAAAAAGGTCTTATTCATCTTGTGTGGGGTGTTTGTGACCCCCAAAATGATCAAATCAGAGACTTTTTCTTAAGAAAGGCAAAAAGGAGTTTTATTGCTTTCTCATGAGAAAGGACACACACAGCATTGGCTCAAGATGGCTCCAGCCAGGGTGTGCATCTGAGTGTCTTGTAAAGCAGAATATATAGACCCTATCCACAATTTTCCTACCCTAACCCCCTTCCCCTCAACCCATTGGCTGGGTATATTAGGGGCACAATCTATTTGCGGAATTCTAACTTCTACAGAAGGAAGTTTGAAACAAGTTAGAGAGGAGTGGTCTCTTTGCACAACCAGGACATTCGGTTTAGCCACATGGAACATACGGTCTAGCCACATGGAACAGCCGGTTTAGCCAGAATGTGATGCAAGGCATCTGGGTGCAGTCTCGCAACAGTCATAAGTATGAAAAGTAACTGAGGTCGGTGTTAGTTCATTCCCTGAGGGAATGAACCTATATTATCCTATTTTCACCCTATATTATCCCATTCACTCCCTTATCTTGTTTACATATTTGTGTAAACCAATAAACCAAGAAATCAATTAATCAATAACCTAATCTCCCCCTGTCCTCTTTTCTTATCAATTCTGTGGGAACCAAACTGTTAGCATTCCTCACAATCTAGTTCTACTGAAGAAGATACTTCAAAACAAAAGAAACAGAAATCCCAAAAGAAGGAAAAGAAAAAGGAGGAAAAAAAGCAAAACAAAAAAAGGAAAACATCACAAAAAGGAGAAAAAGAAGCGAAAAAAGGAAAAACATTCTTCATCTTCTGATAGTTCAGACTCTTCTAGTAGTAACTGAGACATCTACTTATTCTGCTGACATTTTATGTTTAAGAGATTTGAACTTGCTTCAGTAATTATGCTTTGTATTAAACTCACACCTTCCATGCAAGCATTCCTACATGTACAAGGCCAACCCCGCTTTTGACCTACCTGGGTTGTGACTATAAGTAATAACGATTGTTATAAGATTTAGGAGTCAATCTTGTTAGGGACATATCTTATTCATTCCCCTTAATATGTTTTTCTTTGCTATTAGCATTGCTTTAGAAATTTATTGTAAAGTGTGATCACAAAAGACAAAGAAAGAACTATCTATACAAGTAGTCTACCTGATTGTCCATGCTATTACCAAATGTCTGTTCACCTTCCCAGGGAGCAAATCTAGGAAGTGAAATACTTCTTTGGAAAGCAGATCCGTCCAGACATTCAACATCTTCCCAAAAAAACCACAGCAAAATCAAGTAGCCTTATATTCCATTATGTAAGTAATAGTATATTGTTTTTTACAGGACCAGGCTTTTTGAATGTTGGACAGGAATAACATTGCCTTATGGGTCTTTTCTTTTTTCTTTAAATAAATGGAATGTGCAGAAAAGTACTAAATGCAAGAGCCTTATTCCAAGTTTTACTCTTATGTGAAAACAGTTTTTAGTAACTGCCTAGTGTGGGTTTTTACCCCTAGTAGTTGTAGTATTTTCTTTTCTCTTTAAAGACCAGTCCATTTTGAGCATTTATTCCTAGCATTGCTGCTCTACTTAAGACTTAAAGGTAATATTCTGTTGATCAGTATTTATAGCAGTAACAGCTGTATTGTTTTGTAAATGTCCACATTGGCATATGTAAAAGTGATACCTCAGATATCAACATCTATATTCTGGGAAACTTCATTAGGGTTGTTTTTTTGTTATCAGATGAAATATAAAAATTTTATGAAACTTGTTTCTTTTAGAGTAGTGCAGGAATTTTTATAAATTTGAAATTATATACTGTATTTTGTCAAATAATTTTTAAATGCTTTTGAAACATTTGACATTAATTCTTGTGCTTTCTTAAGTGGCCAGTTGGGGCAGGAGAAGGAATTTGATTTTTACTTTGTCAGAAACTTTAGCAGATGCATAAAATAGTTTTAATTAAGTTATCGATGAAGAAAGACTGAAGATCTTTACCCTGCCATCTGTATGGAAAATTAAAAGCTACAGAGTGTTAGAAATAATTTGTCTTCATTGGCTATGACCTTATATTTTTCAAATAAAAATTATATGTTTGAGCATTCCCAACCATAAACTAGCAGACTTAGATAACCTGTCCTAGATTTTTTTTCTTTAATAATGGCCAATATTCTTTGTGGTTATGATCAATAAATTAAAGATTTATCTCATTGTATCAGCAAAAAAAAAAATCCTCCAAGTGAAAGCAGAAGACCAGATGCAGAGAGAGACTGCCTCTGCCAGATCTTCTGTTCATCCCCATTCACGTACCCCTAGCCTGCCCCCACCTGTCCCTTGTTCTCTCCTATCTGTATCCATGTCTGGCTCTCACATGTCTCTCTCACCCTCCTCCTCAGTTCTTCCTGTCCATTCAGGCCAGGCCCCCTAGATGTTCCTTCTCCTCTTGTTTCTCTGTCCCTGGTCCCTTTGTGTCCTTGAGCTGGCTCCCTCTCTCCACTTGCACCTTTCCCCTTTCTTGCCTCCCTCCCTTCCTCATGGCAAATTCAGCAAATTTACACTAGGTAAAAAATTCCTTTATGGAGAGGTCTGTGGAATGGTCTGATTAGGTAAAGCAAGAACTGTGTGTAAATAAGGTACAAGTAGGACTGGACCTTAAGAAAAGAGCAAAAACAAAAGACATAGATGTGAGGGACTGTCTGATGTTGGCAGCTGCCAGTCGGGTACTGTGGC